GGAAAGAGTTTGGGTCCAAATTTAGGAATAAGCATATACAAAACAAGAAAACAAACAAGGTGCTTATTAATTCCAGAGATAAGAAAAAGTTCAGAAAGAAAGGAAAGGAAACCAGAGAAAGAAATATGGGGTCATTAGGAAAGTCATGATGAATTTTTACATAGGAAAAAAACACAGAAAAATATGTCATGACTTTACTGACAACCTAATACATGTGAATATCATTTACATGATCATAATAAGCACTGAATACTGATTTACAAAAAAATTATAAAACTTATAACAATTTTATAACTTATAACTATATTTGAAAATAGCAAGCAGCAAATGTATGTGTATGTGTGTGTGGCCAGGGAGAGTGAAGAGTGGGAATGGGTAGTAAAAGAAATTAAATCTTCATTTTTTCATAAGACAAAGTCTATAGATAATTACCTTCATGGAAAGAGCAATAAATAGGGGGCATAATAGTGATGCAGTGATAAAATGCAGCACTCAAGGCTCACCCACATGGGAAAGGTCCAGGTCATCCAGATAACTCCCTGAATATGCCAGGTCTGTGCATGCCCATGATCCTGGGTTACCTGGGATGGGGTGGATCATGGAACCAGGACCTTGTTCGAGGTTTTCTCTCTCTCTTTTTCTCTAAAGAAATAAATAAGCTTTTAAAAATATATAAAAGAAAAGGAAAATTAAAAGTAACAGCATAAACATATTACTAGAAATAAACCCCAAAGGAAAGAGCTAAAAGTTATCTTCCAAGAATGGTGATTAGAAAAGAACATGAGTGGTTATGTTTTACTGTTTATAAACCATATGAACTTATAATGGCTATTTTAAAAAAGAAATAAAACAAAAATAATAAGGGTGTTTACAAAGGAAATTTTATTAAATAAGTTTGCAGTGGGCTGAAGAATGAAAATTGAGACTGTTAACAAGTTGAGTAGTGAAAGGAAGAATGTTGAGAATAGTATAAATACTTGATAGAAAGACAGCATTAAAGTAAGATTGGTAGTTTGCTTGATTATGGTTCTCTAAACAACTACCTAATTTGTTAGTCAATTTAAGATAGGAATGGGCTTTAATGGAATAAAGTAGTTGAGGGGCCAGCAAGCAGTGTAGTAGTTAAGGGCACTGGACTCCCACATGGCTAACTACAGTTTGAGTCCCAGACCTGGCAGCTTGCTCTCTCTCTCTTTCTCTGTCTCTTTCTCTCAAAATTGAAAAATAGTGATAATAAATAAATAATTTTTTGGAGAGTTGTTTTTTGTTTTTTGTTTTTTTGTTTTTTTGTTTTTTTTGCTAAAGGGTGCATGTGCTCGCCAGACAGTTAGAGACAGAGAGACAGAAAGTGAGAAATCACCCCCCGGGGGGAGGGGTGGCCATGCCGCAGTCCCTTCTCCATTGTCCTCTCGGGATCTTGGGCATGCATGCACATGCACCCGGCGTGAGTTTTAAGCCACCTGGTCCGAGGCGCAAACCACAATCGATCGGCTACATGGGAGTCCAGCTACATAGCCATTACGCCAACTGCTGGTCCCAATAAATAATTTTTTTAAAAAAAGAAAAAAGTAGTTGGAGTTAGCTAAAGTGAGAGAGAATTAATGATGTATCAAAGTTTCAGATGTTGGAACTAAAAAACAATGTTAAAAGGTGAGCTTTTAAAAAAATAAAACTATCATTTCTTGTACGGCAGAAGCGAAAAGTGACAGGATCAATGGGTGTATGAGTGTATAGTTATAATTTATGATGAAGGAAAGGATTATTAAAAGACTTTATGTCTGGGAACCAGCACTTAGTGTAATGGCTATGTCGCTGGATTCCCACGTAGTCGACCACGGTGTGCGTCCCGGATCTGGTGGCTTAGAACTCACGCCAGGCGCGTGTACGTGCGTGCCCAAGATCCCGAGAGGAGAATGGAGGAGAAGGGATTGTGGCATGACCATCCCCCTGGGGGGTGATTTCTCGCTTTCTGTCTCTATGTCTCTCTCTTTCTGTCTGGCGAGCGCACGCGCCCTATAGCAAAAACCTCTCAAAAAAAAAAAAAAAGACTTTATGTCTAATATCTTATATTTTCTCACTGGCAGTTCTGGCTAAATTATCTATTGATAAATGAGGTCTTTTTTTTTTTTTTAAAGAATGCCCATTTAATATATATATTCTGTGGGTGCAATACCCATCTTGAGATATAATTGGTGGTGTTTCTGCTTTTTCAATTTTACTGGAAATAAAAGGATTATCAGACTGAAAAGAACATTTAGCTTCATTAATGGTATGATCATCACATTTTTCTTTCTTTTCAGACGATTAAATACATTGAATAAGTGTGCCTCAATGAAACTTGATGTGAACTTCCAAAGGAAAAAGGTAGGTGTCTACACCATTCTAAGACCATCACTTCAATAGCAGAGGCAGCTTGCATTCATAGATTAAAAACTACATGAAACTAAGCAAAATTATGAAATGCCTGACCATCTATGTTTGTTCTCCAAATATCTTGTCTTATCATAGCTGTCATAAATAATTCTGTTATGGCTATGTTGCTAGACTCCCACGTAGTCAACCGCAGTTCGCGTCCTGGACCCGGTGGCTTAAAACTCATGCTGGGCGCGTGTGTGTGCGTGCCCAAGATCCCGAGAGGAGAATGGAGGAGAAGGGATTGCAGCATGGCCATCCCCCCTGTGGGGTGATTTCTCACTTTCTGTCTCTCTGTCTCTGTCTGTCTGGGAGTGCACACGCCTTATAGCAAAAACCTCTTCATAATAAATAAATAAATAATTCTGTTATAAACTCAGATTGAGATCTGAGATCATTTCATTTTGCTTTTTTTTCCTTTATCAGAAATTTTGCATAAAGATGAAATATCTCAACGTTACGGTAATCTTTCAGAACTTTGTTTAGTTGTAAATGCCAGCCCCACATTGGACTCAAATACTCCACACATTGATTAGTAGATTAAAAGAGTTCAGAGAAGGATTGTTGGATCCATGCTAAGTGCCTTCTGGATCATTCTTTCCAGTAACATCATATTTCAATTATGCATTTATTCTCAAGAAGGTTCATTTGATAATAGCATGATGGGACCCACAGACAGTGTGACATCAAGATGCAGAGTCTGCCTTAACTTTCACCATTCTCCCTCTTTGTACTTTTCTCTAATTACAAGGAATTTGGTTCAATCTCAGAAGTCACTGTGCTCCCTCCCCCTTCTAGGGCTTTGCATGAGCCATTCCTATGTTTGAGTACCACTGGAGATTTCAGTTTTGAAAGCTATTCTTTATTGAGCACTTACTGTTTTCCAGGAGCTAGCTTATGTACTTACTATACATGATCTCATTTAATCATTTGAGGTGGGGCTTCTCTGTTTTCTAGACAAGGTAAGGAAACCTTCAACAGTTCTTACCCATGATCTTTCAGCTAGTGACAGAACAGTGTTTTTTGTTTGTTGTTGTTTTTTTATGTTATAGGGTGCGTGCGCTCGCCAGAGAGACAGAGAGAGACAGAAAGCAAGAAATCATCCCCCAGGGGGGATGGCCACACTGCAATCCCTTCTCCTCCACTCTCCTCTCCTCTCAAGATCTTGGGCACGCATGTACACGCACCTGGCATGAGTTTAAGCCACTGGGTCCAGGACTTGAAGCGCAGTCGACTGCATGGGAGTTCAGCAACGTAGCCGTTACGCTAACTGCTGGTCCCAAGCAGAACAGTGTTTTAACCTCAGGCATGTCTAACTCCAAAGCCAAGACTCTAACCACATACTATACTTCCTCCCTTTCTCACTGAATTGATCCTTTTTAGGAAATTCAAAATTAAGAATGCTAATATATTTTTTTAATTTAGCGTTTTCACTATGATAAGTCAAGTATCTGTATATTTTAAAGCACAGAAAACATTTTGAGCTAAAAGAAAGTTTTCTTTTTTCTCATCTATACAGAGAAATCATTAAAGCAAATGGATTTTAAGTCACCCCTCAGTAACCTAATCTTTGAAAATAACTTTAACCTGAATTTCCTCTCTAACATATATCCCCCTCCTCAAAAAAGGAATTTTCCTTTACCTCATCTTAAGAACAATTTGGGGTTTGAGCTAGGAATGAAAGATTTAAGCTAAAGAGGGAAAAGGGTGAAAAACAATGTCCAAAGAAATATTAAACATAAGCAATTTATCCAAGCCAAAGACAAACTTGAAATGTGGGAATAAACCTCCCAACAGCTGTCTGACTGAATAGACCCCTTGATAAGCACACATACTATTTGAAGCATGAGGGTCAGATGTTGTTTTGATTATAACACATGGTTCTTATTAAACTGAACACAGTCATGCCTGTGTATCTAAAGTGTGGTACTTATATGGCTGGTCTATACGGCTGCCTATACAAATCTTTAGCTGTAGAGTATCACAAAAGAAAATGCCAAAAACTAATGACATGATTTGTTTTCCACAAAGTGGAGTGATTGGATTTTTTACCTTGTCACCAGCTTTTTAAAATCCACCATTGAGATAGGCTTGCATAACTTATATTAGGCATTTTGTGTGCTACCTACACAAAAGTCCCTCTGTAGACTGGTCATTGCACTGTTCCGCCTTTCTTAATGTATTGCTTATATTGGATGTAATAGCACATACTCTACAGCCCCTTCTTAGCTTTGGGCCTCACTAATGCATACACTTTTTTGAGAAAATAGGACTTTTCATATTATAAATTGGAAAGTCATGGTCTGTATTTTCAAATAAATAATTCTGACATGTGGTCTCCACCCATCTGTAAATCTCAATAATGACCAGCATACATGGCCAAATCTAATCTACAACACAGAAGATAGTATGCAGCGGCACCCATTTCTGTGACCTGTCTCTTACACAAGTCATCGACTAGTCCTGTATTTTGCTAAATAATAATAATAATAATAATAATAAAATAAATAAATAAAAATAAAGAATAAGAACTAAGATTAAGCCAAATGATCAAAAATAGAAAGTGAGACTTGAGAACTGACCACGCCATGAAGCTTCAACCAGCTTTGGAATTTATATGGAAAAAAATGTGACATTCCTCTAGGTATGTCCCCATTTTAAGTGATCCAAAAGTAGAAGTAGAATTATCATTTCCAATCTGCTGAGGTCCAAACTTGTTTAATTCTGCAGAATATATTTCCCAAATGGCTTAACATCTAGGCCCACAGTTATCTTGCTCTTCTCGGGGCTGTTAGGCCCACAGGTCTTCATGAGCTTGCTTAGCACTTTGTGTTGTCACCAAATGCTGACGCAGGATTTCCTGTCTGCCACGTACTGTCCCTCATCATTGACTCTATGCCACAGATGCAGAAATTGAAGGGCTCAGTCCCTTGCCCAAAGCCACACAGAAATAGCAGAGGCAAGATTTCAACCCAGGGATTCTGGTACCAGATTTCCCCTTCTCACCTTTCAAAGATATTCAGAAATGTAGAACCTGATTGAGCCATGGGCCTGAGACCTGGAAGGGTCTCATGTTTCCTCAGCAATGCATTCCATTGACTATTTGTTTTTAGAAGAGAAATGTTTCTTGCCATCTATACTGAAGTCCATAATTGATGTTTTGGCTTCATGACATTTTGTTTCGTTCTGAAGATTTCGCTGGGCTATCTTAAGGAAACCAAAAAGACAAATAAATGAATATGTTGAAGACTTACTCATAGATTGAGTTGAAAGGCATGCACTTTTGGTTAGGCGTGCACTTTTCTAATACATCACATGCCACTTGTGAGGCACCAGGATATGGCATTGTACCTTCTATAAGATAGTGTCTAACCATTTTGCAGAGAAGTGGTGCTTTAAGGATTCGAGATTACCTTTCTGGCCTCTGCAAGAGTCAAGCAGAGAACGGTGTTCTGAATCATAGCCACACACCCTACTGAAAGACTGACTGCAGCCCAGCCAAAGAAGAATTTCAAGAGAGCCTTGAGGGCAGCTGTGGCTTCAGGCTCTTCATCCCTGTAACATTCCAAGTGGCACATTCCTGCCTCTGAGCAGGCAGACACCGTCATTTAGTTCCAGCTAACTGTAATGGAAGATACACTTCTAAATTTCTAGGTAACTGTGGGTTAGCTGCCTTTTGCAGCTGTAGACTCACATAGGTTCCTATTTCCAGTGTAAAGATATAGCCAAATTCCATTAAAAAAAAAAAAAAAGCCCTTCTTTTTGGAGTGTCTTCTTGGCATCTGTCTCTGAGGAATATATAATTTCAATGAAGAATGTTCTCAAAAGACAAACATCAGAGGCACATCTAAATTAAAAGCTCCAATGCACATGCAAAGCTGCTCATTCGCAGGGGGGAAACTGTTTCTTTTTCATTCTTTCTTATAAAAATCACACTCTCTTCATGATGGCATGAAATACCCTGATTATGGCTAGAGTTTATTGTTATATGACTTCTGTTCGATGTAGCAATCAGAGGCCTAAGACTCCAACCAGGTTGCATATTAAATAAGTAGAGAGAAAGACACATGCCCACTTGGGACTCTTAATCTTTCCTCTAATCCAAGAAGATCTCTCAAGAGAGGAAGAACAGCTTCAGGGAAGGTTCTGGTTAAAGTTACAGTTTTAATAAGGCTCTCTGAAACTATGACCAGAGGCGGAAAGCAACTTAGAAACCATAACTAATTGTCATCTTCCAGCCAGCGCCTTCTGGCCTGAATGCCAGCAGCATTTCAGAAGTCCTGCAGCTGTTCAGAAGGGATGGGTCTTCACCCCTCCAGCCACCACCATCTTTTACACTCCCACATCTCCCACCAAATAAGGCACCTTCTGGTAGCTCTGAACAGCAGAGTCAAATGAGGAAAAAAAAAAAAAAAAACTATATTCCATCATGCACTTGGCTAGAGAGTATTATATCTTGAAATCCAGATAATTATATGTGGATAACCTAAAACCATAGGATCTTTAAGTTGGAATGGCATTTTGGTCATATCTTTTCTAACCTCCCACCCACTCTACAGGATTTACTTCTTAGATGAGCCCCACAATTTACTCTGGCCCCACTTGTAAACTTCTCCACATAAATTTTTTATATCACAAGGCAGTTTATTTCATTCTAGTTACTAGAAAAGTCTTCCACAGAATGAGCTAGAAGTTGAGTGATGTGAATTAGCCCATTTAATTCCAGTCCTTTCCTCTGGAGAAGCACAGAATATAGATTTCCCCTTTCACACAGCAGCCCTTCAGCACGGACCTCTAGAGCAAGAGTTGGCAAATTGGCTGGTCCTGTTTTTGTAAATAAACTTTTGTTGGAACATAATTACACCCATTCTTTTCCCCACAACAATGCAGTTGCCACAAAGACTGTATGGCCTGTCAACCTAAAATATTTATTATCTGGTCCTTTATAGAAA